TGATAGAATTAAAGGGAGAAGTAGATAGTACTACAATAATAGTTGGAGACTTTAATACATCACTTTCAATATTGAACAGAACATCCAGTATGAAGATTAACAAGGAAATAGAGGACCTGAATGACACAATAAACCAACTAGACTTAACAGACATATATAGAACATTCCACATGTGGTTGTTAAAGTTGCTGTCAACTTGGCTAGGCCTGGTTGAGTGGCTGGGCAGCTGGATGTAGTTATTCCCCATGGTGAGGCTGGCAATCAGTTCCATGGTGGAATCTACTAGAGCAGCTGAGTACCTGCATCAGAGATGTGGTCTGCTTCCAGTATATAAGAAACAGCTTTGAAGAAGGTCTCTAGCTTTTTGAGCTTGCTTGGACCCTACATGTAGCCGAGTCTTCATTCAGCAGCCTGCTGGGCTCTGCCAATCCTGGGACTTTTAATGGACTTGAATCAATGGCCTGCCATGTGGTTTAGTAATATTGGGGCTGTGCCTTTTCACTTGTTGACCTCGGGTTTGTCAGCCTCAGTAGTCAGAAGCTGCCTGAGTAAAGAGATGCCTCTAGCTTCAGTGGGCTGGAAGCAAGAGGGAGAACTGAAGCCCAAGGTCAAAAGGATTTCACCCAGCCCCTAGAGCTGAGCACTTTATACTCTGACTTCTAGTCTCCAAAATTGTGAAAGAAGAAACTCCTGTTTGTTCAAGCCATTCCATTTGTTGTATATTGCCGTCAAAACGGTACTAGATAACCAAAGCACATCCCAAAACAGCACAATATACATTCTGCTCCAGTGCACATGGATCATTTTCCAGGATAGACCACTTTTTAGGTCACAAAGGAAGTCCTGATAAATTTTAAAAAGGTTGAAATCATATAAAGTACTTTCTCTGACAACAATGAAGTGAAGCTAGACATTAATAAAAACAACAACAAAACCTGGAAAATATACAAATAAGTAGAAATTAAACAACACATTATTAAACTACCAATGGGTTAAGGAAAAAATCAAAAGAGAAATTACAAATTTCTTAGAGTCAAATGAAAATGAAAGTACAACATAACAAAACTTATGGGATGCAGTGAAGGCTGTACTCAGAGGGAAATTTATAGCAATAAAATGCCTGCATAAAACAGGAAGTAAGATCTCAAATTAACAGCCTAACTCAACAACTCCTAAAATGACTTGCTAAAAGTGAAGATGACTTGAAGTACTTACTGGTGAGGATCAAAGACCGCAGTCTTCAGTATGAATTACACCTCAACATAAAGAAAACAAAAATTGTTACAAATGTACCAGTAAGCAACATCATGATGAATGGAGAAAAGGCTGAAACTATCAAAGATTTCATTTTACTTGTATCCACAATCAACACTCATGGAAGCAGAAGTCAAGAAATTAGATGTTGTATTGCACTGAAAAAATCTGCTGAAAAAGACCTCTTTAAAGTGTTTAAGAGCAAAGATGTCACTTTGAAGATCAAGTGCACCTGACCCAAGTCATGGTATTTTCTACTTCTGTAGAGACACCACCTGGGAAACCTAAGGAGGTGTTGCCAAATGGCTTCAGCAGGGAATTCTACCAAACATTTAGAGAAGACTTGACACCAACACTGTTTAAACTCATCTAAAAGGTAGAAAAGGAATTAATGCTCCCTAATTCATTCTTTGAAGTAACATAACCCTAATATCCATACCAGACAAAGACACTTGAGAGAAGAAAACTACTGATCAACATCCCTTATGAATATAGATGCAAAAATCTTCAACAAAATACTAGTAAGCAGAAACCAACAGTATATTTTAAAAAGTCACACACCATGACCAAGTGGGTTTTATTCCAGGAATGCAGGAATGGTTCAACATTAGAAAATCAATCAACATAAGATACCATATCAATAGAACAAAGGAAAAGAACCATGTGATCATCTCTATGGATGCAGAAAAAGCACCTGATAAAATTCAACACCCTTTTGTGATGAAAACCCTAAAGAAGATTGGAATAAATGGGAAACTCTTCAATATGATTCAGTGCATATATGAAAAGCCAACAGGCAATATTATACTTAACGGAAAAAGACTGAGAGCTTTCCCCTTGAAGTTGGGAAAAAGACAAGGGTACCTGCTCTCACCACTTCTATTCAATACTGTATTAGAAGTCCTGGCCAGAACAATAAAAAGCAAAACAAAACACTGCTGTTGAGTTGTATCTGACTCATAGTGACCCCTCCTTGGGTTTCCGAGGCAGAATCACTATGGAAGTAGTTTGCCCAACCTTCCTTCTGAGGAATGGCTGGTGGGTTTGACCCACCAAGCTTCTGGTTAGCAGTCATATGACTTACGCACTACGCTACCAGAGTTCCTAGCCAGAACAATAAGACAAGAAAAATGAATAAAAGGTATCCAGGTTGGAAAAGAAGAAGTAAAATTAAATCTTTTTGTCGATGATATGATCCTATCTTTAGAAAACCCTAGAGTTCACAAGAAAACTTCTAGAGCTCATAGAAGAATTTAGCAAAGTTGCAGGGTACAAGGTAAACAAACAAAAATTATTTGTGTTTCTATTCACCAGAAATGAGAAATCTGAAAGGGAAATTAAGGAAACAATTCAACTTAAAATAGCTCTAAAAGAATAAAATAACCAGGGATGTTATTTATACAATGAAAACTATAAAACATTGCTGAAAGAGATTAAAGAAGACTTAAGTAAATGGAAAGATGGTCCTTGTTCATGTATTTGAAGACTTAATATTGTTAAGATATCAATATTACCCCAATCTATAGATTCAGTATAATCCGATCAAAATTCCAACAGCTTTCTTTACAGAAATAGAAAACCAAACCTCAACTTTACATGGAAGGAGCCCCAAACAGCCAAAACAATGCTGAAAGATAAGCACAAAAGTAGGAGAGCCCATGTTTTCTGATTTGAAAACATACCATACAACTACAGTAATAAAAACAGCCTGATAACGCTGTAACAATAAATCAATGGAATAGAACTGAGAGTCCAGATAAACCCACACATCTATAGCCAACTGGTTTTTGACAAGGGTACTAAGTCCATTCAATGGGAAAAGAAAAGTCTCTTCAATAAATGTTGCTGGGAAAAATGGATTTACACATGCAGAAAAATGAAACAGGACCCTTGCCTCAAACCATACACAAAAACAAATTCAAAATGATTAAGAACCTAAATGTGCAAACTAGAACCATAAAATTCTTATAACAAGCAGACTTCATTTTCCATACTGTAACATGTATTAAGACTTCATTTCTCCAACTGGCTGAGTGGTATTCCATTGTATGTATGTAACACATTTTGTTTATCCATTCATCTGTTAATAGGCATTTAGATTGTTTCCACCTTTTGGCTATAGTGCTGTAATGAGCATTGACGTACAAGTTTGTTTTTGTGTCTATGCTTTTAAGTCTTTTGAGGTTTACCTAGGAGTGGAATTGCTAGGTCATATAGTAGTTCGATTTTTTTAGTTCTTTGAGGAACCACCATACTGTTTTCCACAGTGGCTGTATCATTTTGCAGTTCCACTAGTGATGGATAAAGGTTCCAACAGAGCATGAAGACATTATGCTCAAGGAAATAAGTTGAACACAAAAGGAAAAATATTATATGACTCACTTACACAAAAAGATAAGAAAAGACAAATGCATAGAGACCAAAGTTTATTATTGGCTAAGGGCAGGAGGGAGGGGGGAAAAGAGGACTAACAGTGATGGAAAAATTGCATTGACTAAAGGTAGGATTGCACAGCTGATTCTTGTAATTGCTGCCAGTAAGTTGTACACCTGTAAAAGTTAAGTTAGCAAAATGTATTTACAAAAAAAAAAAAGAGTAGCTTCTGAAGCTGGCTTATATACAATCAAACACCTCATGGGATTTGGTGGTTTAGGGTCATGATTTCATGAGACTTCCCAGTTATTTGGCCTAATAACGTGTTTAGTGCTTGTGTTCTACCTCCTAGTTCATTGCATAGTGCCTCAGGTCTTAAAAGCTTGCAAGTGGTGATCCAAACACAAGAATTGGTCTCCATTCACCTGGAGCAACAGAGGCAGGAGAGTCAGAAACAGGAGGAGGATATAGCAAGTGTGACTAATTGCCTCCAAGAACAATAGCCTCCTTTGCCATGAGACCAGAACTGGATAGTACCTGGCTACCATTACTCCACATTTTGATCAAATACTCCACAGAAGAATCTTGATTAAAAGAGGGGAAATACAGAAAAGAATTTCAATTTCTCATGGACTCTAGACTTTCTGGAACCAAGGAGGGTAGATGAACCCCTGAAACTACTGCTTTAACATTTAAACCATAAACCAAAAATATCCACTGAAATCTTAAAACCAAACAATAGTTTAGCTTAACTAGTTAAAAAAAAAAAAAAAAGGTCTAGCTTGAGCATTATGCTCTTCTAAGAACTATCAGTATGTGATCAGATTAACAATGGCAACGTGAAAGATTAGATAGAAAGCTGGGGACAGTGAGTTTTTGGTAATAAGGGAGGAACAACTCCGAAAAGGCGGGTGAGCAAGGCTGCGCGGCTTAAGAATGCCATCAGTATCCCCAAACTGTGCACGTACAAACTATTGGATAGGTGTGTGTTCCCAACAATAAAAAATAAGGAAAATTTAAAGAAATAAGAATTATAAACAACCCCTCAGAAACTCTCCAAGGAGAAAAAGAACACTTCCTCAATCCAGTAAGTGAGGCTTCTGAGGCTGTGCCAAGATGGAGCATTTGATTCCCTCATCCAATGACTTCTAATTTTCTTTTTCACCATTTAGCAGTAAGATAGCAACTTTTTAAAAGTGTGCCAAAATTTTGTGAGTAAATACTGCACTCTTTATTTAATCACGTTCATTCAAACAGTGACTAGTAGGAGGGATAAAAAGAATAAAAAGGTATAAGCTACAAACATTAAAGTTATATGAAACATTAATAAAATATTACATGTGCACAAAACTAAATTTCAGTAAAGTTCTTACTGTGTTTTTATTGAAAACTTTAAATTCTTCAGTAAAGCATCCTTTCTAGAAAGAAGTAACAAATAATAAAATTCTTAAACATAGAATAATTCACGTAGGCCTAAACCATATCACAATAAAAAATCAGCTAATGATTTTTAATTTTACCTATTAATCTAACAGCTGAAACACAAACATAATGAGTGTTCAGAAAAAGAAAATGAAAATTCCCAGTACAAGTAACAGAAATAAATGTTAATATGTACATACATGTTTTAGGCAAAAATTCCCGCTAATTATAGTTCTCCAGTTTAGAAGTCTTAGAGGAACTGCCATGTCCACACTCATTTTTAAAGGTTAAACATAAATCTACACAATCAGTTGACTCCTGACATACCTTCTCTCTCATTTATCAGGGACTGTTAGACCTTTGTAACCAGGTAAAGCTTTGTTACCCTTGGTCACCATCTTTTGCGATCTCTGCTTTGAGTTGGATCTGACTCGATGGCAGTGAGAGAAATGGCTTCCCTGTAAGTCCTCTCACATAACTTAGTATTTCTCCCCTTCTTCCCAGTATTTTCCATTACAGTTCATGGAATCCCAATTCCAGGGTTAAAAAGCTACTTTATCTCTTTTTTAACAGCTTTACTGAGATATAATCCACATACCATAAAATTCACGTATTTAAAGTGTACAATTCATGGTTTTAAATGTAGTCAGCAATATATGAAACAATCATACAATTTTAGAGTATTTTTATGGCCTTAAGAAGAAAGCCAGTATCAGTCAGTTGTTGGTCCATTGTCCCCACATTCCACCTCCCTGTTGTTGTTGTTGTTATGTGCCGTCGAGTCGGCCCCAACTCATAGCGACCCCTCCTTGGGTTTCCGAGGCAGTATCACTATGGAAGTAGGATTGCCGGAAGTAGGATTGCCAGAAGTAGGATTGCCCAACCTTCCTTCCGAGGAGTGGCTGGTGGGTTTGAACCGCCAGCCATCTGGTTAGCAGGCAAGTGTCTTAGCCACTACGCTACCAGAGCTCCCCTATGCTACCAGAGCTCCCTCCACCTCCCTAGCTCTAAGCAATTGCTAATCTACTTTTTTCGACATAGATTTCCATATTTTGCATTTTCATATGAATAGAATTATATATTATGTGGTCTTTTGTGACTGACTTCATTTACGTGGCATAATGTTTTCAAAGTTCGTTCCTGTTGTCGCAGGTATCAGTACTTCATTCCTTTTTATGGCAAAAGATGTAAGAAATATTCCATTGTACAGATATGCCACATTTTGTTTATCAACTCATCAGTTGATATACATTTGGGTTGTTTCCACCTTTTGGCTACTATGAATAATATTGCTACTATGAATAGGGCTGTTATAACCATTTATGTACAAGATTCTGTATAGACAAATGTTTTCATTTCTCTTGAGTATATACCTAGGAGTGACCTTGACAGGTTATACGGCAACTATGACAGACACTGGTGGGTCAATGTTAGAAATCTCACCTCTCACCTGGGTTTGACTCCTAGCCAATACATCTCATGCACAGCCACCACTGGTCTGTCAGTGGATGCCTGGATTTTGCTATGATGCTCAACAGATTTCAGCAGAACTTCCAGACTAAGAAGATCTATGGTGAAAGGTCTGGTGATCTATTGAAAATCCTATGAATCACAACAGAACACTGTCTGATCCACAACTGACCATGGGGATGGCACAGGACCAGGCAGCATTTTGTTCTTCTCTGCACGAGGTCCCCGGGAATCAGGGCTGGCCCACAGCAGCTAGCAACGATGGTAACTCTAGGGTTACTCATTGGAGGAACTGCAGACTGTTGTCCAAAGCAGCTGCACCTTTACATTTCCACCAGCAGTTTCTAAGGGTTCTGCTTTCTTCATGTCTTCACCAACACTTGCTGTTAACTGACTTTTTGACTCTAGCCACCCTAGTGGATGTGAAATGTTATCTCACTGTGGTTTTGATTTGCATTTCCTTGATGATTAACGATACTCAGGATCTATTCAGGTATTTGTTAGTCAGTCATTTGTGAGAAATGTCTACTAAAATCTTTTGCCCATGTTTTAACTAAGTTACTTGCCTTTTTATTACTGAGTTACAAGAGTTCTTTAAATACATATATTTAAAAAATCAATTTATATTTATTATACATTTATTTATCATATTTATATATACAAGTTTCATAAATCTCTTACAATTTAAAAATATTTTCTCATTCTGTGGGCAGCCTTTTCACTTTCTTAATGGTGCCCTTTGAAGCACAAAGTTTTTAATTTTGAAGAATTCCAAAATACCTAATTTTTCTTCTATTGCTCATGCTTTTGGTGACATATCTAAGACTTCTTTGTCAAATTTAAGAGTATGGAAATTTATATTCTATTTTCTCCTAAGAGTTTTATAGTTTTTTCTTCTACATTTACTTCTTTGATCCATTATGATTATTTTTTAATGTGGTCTAAGGGCACAACTTCTTTTGCTTGTGGCTATTCAGTTGTTCTAGTACCATTTGTTAAAAATTTATTCTAGTATGGTCTTGGTACCCTTATCAAAAAACAGTTGACCTTTGTCAATGACATATCCAACAAGGCTCTAATATCTAAAATATATAGAAAACTTCAACAACTAAACAACAAAAAGACAAATAATCCAATCAAAATTAGGCAGAGGACATGAATAGACAGTTACCAAAGATGAAAATCCAAGTGACCAACAAATACGTGAAAAGAATCTTGTGATCATCAGCCATTAGAGAGATGCAAATCTAAACTACGATGAGACACTATCTTACTTCCTGCAAAAATGGCAATGGTCAAAAAAATCACTTTCTAGATAGTAGACATTTGTTATTTCTGGTGATGGAAAAGGCAATACCATCAATACCATTCATCCACAAGGGGGTGAATCTGTACAACTTGACCAAAGTAAATGAAGTCACTAAGATGTACACAAGAAAAAGGGACAACTTTGGTAAATGCTATAACATATACAAATTCACAGACAGTGGAAACAACCAAAAATACATGTGTGATTACACAGCTAAATACGTATGCATGTATGTGTATGGGAAGGAATATGTGAGCACATGCACATGTATGTACAGATGTATCTGTAGGCATATACATGTTTATTCATGCTGCGTATATATCCACATATATAAGAAAGCACATACGGGGCACAGTTATGGAGACTTCCTAGACATAGCCAAACATATCTCAGGATTAGTTTACTCTATTAAAAGGATAAGGACAATAGTCTCATGGGACAATTTAATCAATTGGCATAACATAGTTCACAAAGATAATTTTCTACATCCTAATTTGGTGAGTAGTGTCTGAGGTCTTAAAAACGTGCAAACAGTCATCTAAAATGCAACTATTTGTCTCTGCTCATCTGGAACAAAAGAGAATGAAGGAAACTAAAGACTCAAGGAAGAAACTAACCCACAGAACTAACAGTCCACATGAACCACAGCCTCTTTTAACCTGAGACCAGAAGACCTTGATGGTGCCTGGTTACCACTACCGACCATTCTCACCAGGGACACAATCGAAGGTTCCAGATAGACTGGGAGAAAATGTAGAACAAAATTGAAATTCCTAAAAAAGGCCAGACTCTCTGGACTGAAAGAGACTAGCGGCACCTCTGAGACTACTGCCCTAAGACATCGTTTGAATATAGCACTGAAGCTACTCCTGAAGGTCGCCTATCAGCCAAATAATAGATGGGCTTATAAAATAAACAATATCACCCGTGACTAATGTGTTCCCTTAAACAACCAACTATATGAGGCCAAATGGTCAACATTTACCCAAAAGCGAAAGTGAGAAGATCAAAGGAAACAGAACAAACAGAAAAGAAATAATGAGAATACTGACACATTGTACAATTTGTAACCAATGTCATAGAAAAATCTGTATAAAAGATTGTTAAATGGGAACCTAATTTGCTGTGTAAATTTCACCTAAAACACAATAAAATTTAAAGAAAAAAACCCAGAGTTTTGTATATGTTACAGCATTTACCAAAGGAGGGGTCACTATGAGTCAGACCTGACTCCATGGCAGCAGGGGTTTATATATATATATATATGGATTAATTTCTCGATTCTCACTTTCAGTCCATTGATTTATATGTCTACCCTTGTGCCAATATCACTGTCTTGATTACCACTGCTTTGTACTTAAGTTTTGAAATCAGAAAGTGTGAGTCTTCCCACTTCATTCTTTTTCAGGATACTTTTGGCTACTTGGGGTCCCTTGCAATTCCAATGTGAATTTTAGAATCAGCTTGTCAATTTGTGCAAATAAGTAAGTCACTGGGATTCTGACAGGGATAACAGGGAATCTGTAGATCAGTTTGGGAAATATTGTCATTTTAACAATGTTAAGTTTTCTGATCCCTGAATATGTTTTTCCATTTATTTACATTTTCTTTAATTTCTTTCAGTGACTTGTTATTTTCAGCATATAAATTGTGTGGTTCTTTTGTTAAATGTATTCTTATTTTATTCTTTTTGATGTTCCTGTGAATAGAGTTGTATTCTTAATTTCAAGTTCACATTCTACATGGCAAGTGTATAAAGTGCAATTGATTTTCTATATTGATCTTATTTTCTGCACCTGCTGAACTCATTTATTAGTTCTACCTGTTTTTCAGTAGGCTCCTTAGGAGTTTCCATATACAAGATTATACTAGTTGCAAGTAGATATAGTTTTACTTGTTTTCCAATCTGGACGTTTTTAATTTCTTTTTCTTGCCTAATTGCCCTGGCTAGAATCTCCAGTTGAATAGAAGTGGTGAGCCTTTGGGACCATAGTCGCAGGGACATTAAGCTCAATTGGCATAACATACTACATCAAACATTGTTCCACCTCCTACTTTGACAAGTAGGGACTGGGATCTTAAAAGCTTGCAAGCTGCCATCTAGATGCAATGATGGGTCTCTCCTCATCCAGAGCAAAGAAGAATGAAGAAAACTAAAAATTCAAGGATACAATCAGTCCTAGTGACTGGTACACCATCCAATCTACAGCCTATATG